TTGACAAAGCTAAACGATAACGAAAATAAAAAGTTTTCTAGCAAAAGAAAAACCTATCTTGTATTTGCCTTCAAGTATGAATCACGTGATGCATCTACCTGATAGTAAATCATCAGACGAATTTTATTGATCCTACTATAGTTCCAGCATTCAGACAACAGAATGCCTATGAAAGGCGTCTTAAAATAACTCCTTTGTCATAATTTTAAATTTGTAGGAATGCGCCGTATGTATCGTATGGATGACCTCTAAGACGATGCTCTTTCGGTATTGGTCAGATTACGGATTGTATGCATCGCATTTTGTATGCGCATCAATTCTGTAAGCTAGTAATTAAGTTTTCCAAATTAAGTTAGATGTTTTTCTTGTTTAATGATGTATAAGATCTCAATACAACTCATGAGCTCTAGTAGGCCATTCACGTTTCCAAGAAAAAATAAAAACTCATTTTGTTTCTAGCAGGATAACTAAACAAGTTCGTTCGCATTTTTAAAATGTTCGATCATTAAGGCGAAATTATTTATTTGTCATTTGTTTTTAACCTTTCTCATGTCTTGTGCGAATATAACCCATATTTCTAAACGCCATGAAACGTCTATACAGTAAACCTGTAGATATATTAGGTATTTTTGAAGCATCAGAGATGAAAAATGAGCATTGCCCTGGCCAGGATTCGAACCACAGACCTCTCAAATACGCGTCGAGTATGCTAACCACTACACCACGAAGGCATGCTAAGAAGGCGGAGAAATAACTTATAAACCCTTGCCAAACGCATGGGTTACGACATTAACACTTTCCACGTACGGCAAAATTGCGTCTCGCGACGTTAACTTTTTACGAAAAAAAAAAAAAAACGGTTTAGGTACGATTCAGATTAAAAAAGTATGTATAATATATACAAACCTAAATATTATTTAATTAAAAGGGGAAATGAAGCAAATGTTAATTGAATCGATTTTTATTGCTGCTTATTAAGTACGTCAATTATTTTTTTAGAAAACTGGGATTTTTGCTTGCGACAATGACTGACGAAACACTTTATAAAAGTTCCACTGTGAATAGCACAGAGTTTTCAATATCTCTTATAAAATGTCCCCTGTTTTCTTCATTCGGTCAATCTTTATTACAAAATCAGACAGTTTCTCTGTCTTTTTTAACCATTCATTTCACTTTCTGTACGTTAAATGCTCTTTCTTTACCTTCTTCTCTATTAATGCTTTCTCTGTCTGCTTGTGTTATAAGATGCACCAATTCTTTATTTTTCATTTCACGTTTGTCGTTCTCGACTAATTCTTTGATTTTTCCTTCTTCCATATCTGAAAATTCTTCGCTGTCTGTTATTTTTGCAATTTGCACGATTTCTGTGTCTTACTTTCCAACCGATCGAAATTCTGTAAAATTATTGGCAACTTCTGGTCAGAGCTGCTGCTAGCAAGCATTCATTGCTGATGAATTCTTCCCAAGCGAGTTGAAACATTTCTATGCAAAGCCTTATATTGAATTGCTTCCAAAATGCCACTAGTGTGCCAAACGTTCTTTCGTTTAATGCTTTTTTCATGCAGCAATGTAAACATGCCTGACATAATCGCCTCTGTACGTTTCTAAGATTTCTTGATAAATTTCTTGGATTAAAGAAACGACGTTTCATAAAATAAATAAAACATCTGGATACATTGATCCAGATTGATCCAATATAGAGGTCTACATCTAGATACATTGATCCAGATGTAGACCTCTATATTGGATGCATTTCGACTTCAGCACAATGTCTTCGATCATTGTCGAGAATTAAGAGAACATTAAAGCTTAGATTTTAGTGTTCTAAGGCAGCGGTCGTCAACCCTTAGAAATTCACGGACCACTTCATATATAATTTTATATTTGGCAGATCACTAATATTAATTAAAAAAACCTTTCAATCAGACCTTAAAAACAGTATATTAATACGCAAAAACAATATTCAACTTTCCAATACATGTAATTCTAATTTTCATTTGTTAATATAATTATCAAAACATTTGGTGTCTTTATGAAAATTCAGACTACGCCCCTGATTATGAGTAACAATTAAAAACTATTAACATCTCACTGATATTTCGTTCACATTGAAAAACTACATATACTACTGAAAAGTACAAAAATCTTACCTTCTTGTACAGAAAGTTTCACATTTCCGTATCACTGAACAAAGGAACTTCACGAAAAGCAAGAACAAACCAGCAAACGCTAAGCAGTATCAACAAAATGAAAGTGTTATGCCACAAATTTTTAATTATTGTAAACATAATAATCGTCGCTTACTCAGCAATGGCGCCATCGATCAGCTATTAGACAAAATAAAAACGGAAACTTCCAGTGTTGCAATTATAAACAAGAATGCGGATGGTTCTCATAAACATCCATCAACTTGCCTATTAACACTGAGAAAAACTGTATTATTAACGACTACAATAGCATATGTTTGTAATTCAAAAGGAAAGATAATTCCAGTTCGCGCTATTATTAAATATCCATTGCATATCCATGGATGCCAACTCTCACTTTCAAGTGTCGCTAGATACGGCTGCAAAAGTAACTAAAAAACCGCTAAATTCATTGAAGGAATTTCACTAAAAGTTGTATCTGAAATTTAAAAAAAAAGTGTATAATCCATCTTCCATAATAGGTTTTGTTACTCATCATTTTTTAAACTGAATTTTCATAAAAATATAAATAATATCTCAATTTTTCTGCGGACCATCAAAACGTTTTCACGGACCACCGGTTGGCAACCGCTTTTCTAAGCAATGTTTGACTTCCTTAATGAATGAATTTTCCAGTCAGTCATTGAAGAGGACTATCGCAATGCTGCCGATGTTCTGCAGTGTACAGAGTGTAATTGAAATTTTCGCGTTGGTTGAATTAATGTAGGTAATTTAAACGCGAATGCGCAGAACCGCGTTCTGCAAATCCGCATTCCGCATAGATTTGCTGTAATTAAAGCCAGTTAGTTGATAGCAGATTTTTGTTTCTGTTGTAACTAATTGGTGTCAAAACTTATAGGGATGGCTAGTCTGACACTAAAGTTTTGAGGGATTATACTAAATCAAAGAAATTAAATGATCAAAGTGAGATCTAAGGTCAGTTTGATTTTCTAGCAAAAGAATTAATATAAGTAGATATACATAATATTAAAGATCAATCGATATGTTTTGGAGTATGTATGTGGTATAAACACACAATATAAATTCGTGTCATTTGTCTTTAACCAATAATGCACGTTTTTATATCTCCAGGGAGCAATATCTTAAAACTTTTTAGCCCAAAACGGTGTTACCCCGAATCGGTTATTAGTCCCAAAATGGGATTTTGTGTCCTTCACTATAAGCAGCGAAATACTTTACAAATTGTTGCCACGAAATATTAACAACCTGCATTACTTTTAAAGAAATTAAACGATGAAGAATCTGCGTGCATGTATGTATGTAACTCGCACTGTGAGATCACGACGGTACCTAGAGCCATCAAATTTTGGATAACGTAGTCCTTCATCCGAAAATGTGCATCTAGAAGACCGAATTTTGAATTTCGAATTTGTTTTATCTGTTTCAAATTTTGTAAAATTTTAATTAATTTTTTATTAGGAAATTCAACGATTAAAAAGCGAGCAGTGGGAACACTGTACGGAATAAAATATTTCATCTCAAACACGCGAGACTGTCTATCGAAAATTTTAAAGATATGCTGTTTTTAAACATTTTGTGATTTTTGCCGTTAAATTGAATTTCATTTGGCGTAAGTGGGAAGAACGTGATATTTAATAACTGAAAATTTAGCACACAAAACGTTAATAATAAGGAGACAAAAGTTTTGCAGGCCTTCTTACTGAGAAAAACTCAACATCAATATGATGAACGGAGGAAATTACTGAAAAAATAGAAAAATGTATGGCAGCACTTAATACTGCATCAAGAATTTTAAATATATGCTGCTTTTAAAATTTTTGTAATTTTGCTGTTTAATTGTGTATGGCGTAAGTGCGAAGGAAACGATACTAATAATAAAACTAAAAAGACAAAAAGAAATACGTAGGTTAGCAGATGTGACTGCAAAGGCAGAATGGTAGACTCTGAGCTCAGCAAGAGCGTAAAAAAAAAAAACCTTAACAAACCCTTTTGAGCGCGACAGTTAAAATCTTAACTCATTCATATATATATATATATATATATATAATATATATATATTATTTTATTTTAATTTTTATGTATAGGCATATTATTTATTGGCAATTTTTAATTTAAATTTTTTATGTATAGGCATTTTATATATTGACATTTATAATCCACGTTTTTGTAACTTCCTTATATATATTTTTTTTCCGTCCATCTATTTTTCATGTGAGTTAACTTTTCACATTACACAACGGTCAGATTAATTAATTTTTTTCGTGCATTATCTAGTCTTCCAGCACTAAAATTTGGCAGTTTTATCGTGCTTATACAGTTTTTCCAGTTTTACCAGACAAATTTCTTATTGTTTATGTAGTACTATGTTACAACATTTCGTGGAGCTACAGCTCCTGGTAACTTTTTAGCAAGGTTGCTGCAATGTTCCTACCAACTACTATATATATATATATTGTATGTATGTATTGACTTCCTTTATTTATATCCTTAAAATTTCTCTTCTGCCCACCGGTGAAGATAGAAATCTTCTCTCAAAGTCAGGTTCGCCGCCAGTATGTGTTCGTTATTTGCTTAATTTTACGTTGCTTATTTTGATCTTTGGGCATTCGTACGTAGAAAAATACATAATCTGTAAAGCAGAAATTCCTCCAGTCAAATTTTGCAAGGCTTAGGACAAAAAGTCAGACAGTTCAAGTATTCATGGGAGCACACAAGTACAGCACAGCCTTCAAGTATAAATATAATTACAGAACACAAATACAGTGAAAGAGATCAGAAAAAGTGAAAATCAGAACAAGTAATTGTACAGAATATGAGAGGAGTAAGACTCACGATACTGCTACGTCACCTTCCTGAATTGTGGCGGCGATCTTTCAAAAATGGCTTTTGAGATGGATTTTCAACAACAATGCAATTCCAACAGCAAATTTCTGGCCATGCTGAGAAACATCAGGAATAAAAATAGCAATGGTGAGAATAAAAATAACAATGTCTATCAGGCTTGTTTTATATATGATTATAGAAGTAAAATGATGATTGTTGACAAACGTGAAACAGGGCTGCTTTAATTAACAAATGACAAACAGGATCGCACTTGCGCACATGGCATAGTAGTTCCGCACAAGAAGCTTTCGTGCACATCATCCTGCGGGGACATGAAATTTTCTAGCAAGTGTAACCAGTTATAAACAGCAAGTGACATTTCCGCACAGGCTGTCGGGAACAATTAATTAGCCTTATAATTTACTGATGTGATTTTTCTCAAGTAATGTCCATTCCCCCTATGGCACTAGATTTCTCAAAACTATAATTTTTTTTGCTTGCGTACACGATAAACTTTGAATGAGTTTAAAATGAGCGAGTATGCCTCTCGCCTAAAATTTTTAGAATTTACTTTTAATTATGTTAAAAAGTAATCAATTTTGGAGGCACGAAAATAAAAAAAATATATAACAATTTAAGAGCATTATCTTTAAGGAAATATAATTCTATTATTTTTAGTGTAGGTTATATATATTATTTTTCGATTTTATATATTATTTTTCTATTTTGGAAAAAAAAAAAAAAAAAAAAAAAAAAAAAAATACTGATTTATTTATACAGTGCTGCGCACAGTACTATGTGAATGACCAAAAATGTATTTTATGTAAAATATTTTAATATTTGGAATATAAAATAAAAGTAACAAATATATTATTAACGATTTCGAAATAAGTATGAAAAATTTCACGCTCACCGGTTACAAAGATATTGAGCTTTAAATGCGTTGTATTTTAGTGATTTGATAGATCTTTACACGTTAACAAATACACAATACAAACACTTTATTAAAGTTTATATTTGTGCAGTCTAGTAGCTTAAAATTTTGTAAAACAGATTAATAATCCAAGTCGTTGTTCCAAGCTATCAAAAGATAATCGAGAATGTTTGTTTGGAAACTACTACTTAACTATATACACTACTATTACCCATGTAGTAAAGAATGTTACTTATGCGCAAGTGTGTCTGCTTTTAGATTTGTGCGCAAATGCCATGATCGGATCTAGGATCGTAACTTTAATTCCGGCCTTAACTATTAAGAGTTTTAACCAGTGCAAATGCCAGGAATCCTCCAAGACTATATATCAGTATATGCTTCTTTCAATGTTGTCTTATATGATACATAATCTGGTAAAGCAATAAAAATAAGTACATATAAAATTTATTTGTATTTATTTATTTATTTACTTGTGCTCTTCTTTTCATGTTGTTTAATACAGTAATATTAACAGTTTCATTGGTTTCAAGGTTTTTAATTCTTTGGTTCAATTTTGGTTTTGGTTCTTTGGTTTGGTTTATTCACGTGTTCTTTGGTTTTGGTCATGGTTCGCAGGCGAAATGTCACGTATTACGAGAATACTAAATAATATTAATAATAATAATTAACATTGTTTACATACGTATGTAATTTTTTCTTAAAAATCTTGAAATATCCGTTTTTTTTTTTTTTTTTTTTTTTTTTTTTTTTTTAGATTCCTTCTGAACATAACGCAGGCTTAATTCCCCGCCCCCGCACGTTCTAACGATACAAGCACTGTATATTAATGACTCACACCACTTTGCTTCCTCTAGCTCTTGTTACATTTTTAATTTTTCGCTATCGTAATCTTTAGTTATCAAGTCCCTATGTTCTCTGTCGTTGTTTCACTGAAAATAGCGATAGCGATTTATCGGTGGAGGTCGGCGACAACTTGGCGCCCCAGACCCCCCGCGATTCAACTCTGATTGGCATATGACGGACGTCACCGTAATATGTACACAAATCGATTGGCTTCGATAAAATGCCAGAGGACCGCGAATCTTTGTCACGTGAAAACATTGCCATTACTCGGGTGGCTTCAAGTGTCACTTTGTTTTTCTTGCTTGCGAGATTCTTCCCCTCCCCCTCCCCTGATTATCAAATAAAACAAAATGCGATGTGGGAACGACTCTTTTTTTATTTATTTATTTATTTGTGTCGCGAAAGGATTTGTGCAGTACTTAAAGGGTTATTAAAGAAGGACGATGAGATTTCTTTTTTTAAGTTGATAAGAATTGATAAAACATCTGAAGTGCGTTCGGAAAGATAATATGTGTATTTTGGTAGAACATGATATAGCCATTTATTGGCTTAAAGGTCTTTATTTCAGTGTCAAAAGAAATAGCTATCAAATATTTTAAAATTTAAATTAAAAAAATGTGTCTGGATTACAGGTTAGTTACCACTGGCAATATTACAGCGCTCAGCGTGCATGTGGAAGGGTGTCCGCCGATAACATCGCGGCAAAATCATCGTGGACGAAAACGTCGCGGAGAAAACAACGCAAGGTGAAAACGTCGTGCTACAAAACATCGTGGGAGAAAACATCGCAAAGACAAAACATCGCAGTTCTAAAACATCGTGGTACAAAACACCGTCGTAGAAAATAAAGCGGTTCAAAAACATCGCAGTTTAAAAACATCGTCGTCGAAAATATCGTGGTAAAAAATAAAGTATCTACAAATCATCGCATGACGATAACATCGCAGACATGCTTTTTTCAGGTTAATAATTGTAAATGGATATTCCCATAATGATTTGTGAGCGCAAGGGGTAAAGAAGGATAAATTTTACTTTCACATATTTTATTAACTAATAAATTTTTGCTGAAAACGTAAGAAGGAAACTTAAGCATAGAAAATTAAATGTAACTTATAGATTATACTTTTCATGAAATATTACCAGTAAAAAACTTTATAAAAAATGATTTATTAATGGCCTTTGTTAGTTAACTATGTCGGTTTTTTTTTAAAATTCTATTAAATGCTATAAGTTGCATTAATTTTTTATGCTTAAGTTTCCTTTTATTTCTCAGCAAAAAATTATTAATCAATAAAAAAATATGAAGGTAAAAAATATCCTTCTTTCCATCTTGCGCTCACAAATCATTATGGGAATATCCATTTACACTTATTAAAGCATGCCTGAAAAAAGCATGTCTGCGATGTTATCGTCATGCGATGATTTGTAGATACTTTATTTTTTACCACGATATTTTCGACGACGATGTTTTTAAACTGCGATGTTTTTGAACCGCTTTATTTTCGACGACGGTGTTTTGTACCACGATGTTTTAGAACTGCGATGTTTTCTCTTTGCGATGTTTTCTCCCACGATGTTTTGTAGCACGACGTTTTCACCTTGCGTTGTTTTCTCCGCGACATTTTCGTCTGCGATGTTTTTGCCGCGATGTTTTCGGCTGTAACCATGTGGAAGAGTATGATATAATGCTAAAAAAAAGCCTTCCCTCCCACTCCTTCTTTTTTTTTTTTTTTTTTTTTCAAACTGTCTGCATTTAGTGATAAAAGTTTCAAGAAGCAAAAATTACTTTGGCGAAAAACATGATACTAATGTTTTACTCGAAATGTTTTATAGATGCGAACTTTGGGAATAAAGGAATTTTATTTTAAATTTATGTGATTGTCAAAGGAGTTGAAAGGAACAAACATTAAAAAAAAGATGGTTTTGATAGCAAAAAACATAGATATTTTTTCATTATAAATAAACTGTTTAGTTTTCAAATAAAATGCATTGCATAGTTAAAATATTTTATAGAAACTTTTTATTATTATATTGTTAGAAAAATGTAATTTTTATCACAAATAACATATTTTTGGGAAGAAATTTTAAAATTGTCCTGAGGAGATATATAGATTTCAGATGAATGATCGCACATTATTATACGATTCCATGTTCCTTGCTAAATTCTGAAATCGTACTGACAGATATAAGACACATCTCTCCGTTGTACCTTCTAAAATACAATAAACACAAATTGAAATGAAGATTTAACATAAACCGTGTTATTAACATATCGGTCTGACGATTACAAAATATAACACGCAGCAAGCGGGAAATTCAGAACGAAGGTTTGAGCCAAACTAAGATGCTAAATAAAAATTAACACGAGCTTACCAAGCTTTTAGTAAGATCTCAAGATTTTACTCAGCAGTTGCTATTAAGGAAGCTAAAGCCAGTTGAGCAAATGAGGATCAGGGCGATCAACAGAGCGACTGGTAGGCGATAGCTGTCAAATGTGCTTAAAACCTCAGGGCTTAAATACATTAACTAATTTGCATCCTTCTGTTGGTGCAGGAAACAAAAATTATGCCCAATAAAGGCAAAATAATAATAAACTGGGCTAATTAATGTAAAATACTACGAGGTAACAATTCAAAAAAAATTTTTTTTTCTTCGAAAAAGTATTTTGAATGAAGGAAAGATATAAATTAAATAACAGTTCATTAGTAAAACTTAAACATAAATGCTACAACCTTACCTTATGCTTGGAATTTCAGTTTCAGTTCGGTTGTAATTTAACAGATAATTTTCATTCGACTATGTTATTTTCAATGATACTTGTCAATTAAGTTAATCTGAATTTTAGATTTTATTTATTTATTTATTTTTGGAATTGGTTACCAACTGAGCGGGAGTTAACCACTAGCTGCCAGGCCGCAGTCCTGGGCAGCTCCGGCTGAGCGGACGACATTTATAAAATGCAGAAAAGGAATATACATGTGCATACAAGGCACTTGAAGAAGAGTACAATCAAAACATATGCATATACATATAAATACCAACTCAGATACAGATATATACACATTTACATACATATATCTTTTGAAAAAATAAAAGTATACATACTCTCACTCATATTCATATATATATCTATACATATACGTTATCATGATAGTTAAAGTTTACATGAAGCATACTACTGAGTTACGCGTGATCCTTAGTATAAATTAGGTACCATTAATAAAAGATATAAACATATACAGATATAGTACAGCATTCAGATACAGTACAAACTCTGTATATGAAAACCTGGCACAGTATAAATACAAATTACATATTGAACATACATATCACATACTC